CATCTCCAGTCGTCGTTCCTTCGTCTCCAGTCCCCCTACATTGCCAGAGCAATTCGTCTCCGTTTATCCCGATTGAAAGGTTTGCATTCAAATATATCCTAATAGTTTTCTCTTTCATATTTGTACAATGTTGAAAACCCTGTTTTTTTTTTGTACTATTAGACCCTTTCAATGTTCCTTCCATGCCCAAGTAGTCTCTAACAGTTGTTTTCAATTTCTGATTTCGTGTGAACTATTGTATATATGGAATTTAGTTTATATCTGGATATATCCGAGGGTTAAAAGTTGGGGAGTGAGTTACTAACAGTGATTTTAGGAAATTTATATGAAATTTAGTTTATATCCGTTGGAGGGGTGTAGTTGGAGAGTGAGTTGTTAATAGTGATTTTAGGAAGTTTATATGGAATTTAGTTTATATCCAGATATATCCGAGGGTTGTAGTTGGAGAGTGAGTCAGCCAAGCAATAGCAGAATTGAGGATACGAAGTTCACCGGTCAGAAGATGTTGGGTCATTACAAAAGGGTAATGATTTGGATATTTTGTAATTAATAATATTGGTAAATCAAGAAAATCAATTTTTTGAAGGAGTAAATTAAGGTTTTGAATGAGTGAACTAAGAATTATATTGGGGATGGTTTCGGGGACGGGAACAGGGTAAAAATCCCCAAGGGGGTGGGGATGGGGATACCTCCCTCGGCCCCACCCCACCCCATTGTCATCCCTACCAACGAATAATCATACCACATAGATAACTGCAACTATGCTATGGAGTTGGACTCTTTAAGTTTTACTCTACTAACCATAAGTAACTTAAAGATCGGTCTTAGAATGAAAATGAAAACGAGAACTATCACCATTTGGACTTATTCACACTCTAGGTTATTTACAATTAAGTTAAACTAATAATAAAATATAACTAGATAGTATATTCGGGGTTATCTACATAGTATTAATTATTATCGTCATTTTACTCGAAAGATGAGCAAAAAGAAGGTACTTTTTATCTTCACAAATGCAACTAACTGGTGTAACATCATACTTTGAAGTGAATGTTGCAGTATCAAATAATTGTTGTTGAGATTGAAAGGTTGGAGGGTGTGGTAGCAATATGAGAAAAATAATTTATTATTTTGTGATGGGCTTAGTAATTAATTCAAATGTTAATAAAACCATACATAGGGAAGAGAAACCAAAATTCCATTCAATAAGAGCATCAAAAGTGTAGAAAATCAACGCTTTTGTTGTGGTATGAAATGCCAATGCATGCTCCATCTCTTGGGCAATAAAAAGAATTTCGAGCTTTCAAAGGTAATAAACTTGCAAATTGTATACGTTAATATCATATCTTAGAAAAGAATTTGAGATGAAAGTTGATAATTTTTTACCTTTTAACTTTCCAATTGAGCATTTACCAAATAAATGTAGAAAACACATTAATATAACTTTATGCAAAATGCACTCATTGAGCATTCTAATGGTAGTCTATTCACACTTGACGTGAAAATATACCTTTTTCTTTAACTTTGAGAAGATAAGGAAGAAATTCTTGTCTTGAAGTTCCATACTTGTATGCTAATCTCTTGTTAATAATATAACATCATCAATAAGTTAATTAGCTAAAGTTAGTTTCCCCTAGAAGAAATAAAGTATTAGACATGAAGTTAGAACTATAATTCATTGATTATGTGGGTATAATATATTTATCTAAATAATAAAAATAAGATTTCAAATAGGTTATTTATTCACGTGTGAAAAGACTGTTTTTCTTTTTTAGTAAAATGAAAAAGAATACTTTATCATGACGATTTATAATATAGATAATAGTGGTCACTTCAAAAGATGTTTCTCGACATGATAATAATTGTGGATAAGATGTTTTGAACTGCTCTATGAACTACTCTACTCTATCATGGCGATTATGTGGATAAGATGTTTCTCATTCTTTTATCTCCTGAATAAGATTTATATAATCTTAATCTTCACGACACCCATGAACAAATTTATAAATAAATTTTACATATTGTAAGGGATGTTTAGTTCAAAATTTTAATAAATTTGGAGTTTGTCAAACCAAACATTAGAAAGCCTAAGTTTTTACAATCTCCATACAAAGAATAGATTATAAAAAAACTTAGTTTACATTCATCTACAGATTTATAATTGATAAAAATTAGTATATAGTATAAAAAGCGAGTTTCATGAACTTGAATTTAGAGTAAGCGGTTATCCCATGAGATTAATCGAAGTACACATAAACTGTCTCGAACACTCACGGATATAAAGAAAAAAGAAACTTGAATTTACACAAGAGTGTATATAGTCTGTGGATTAACAACCATTAGCCTAACCTAACATACTCATCTATAATAAGTTTGAGTTTTAAACTATGAACTTTTACTTTGAATTACACAATCCTGACACAACACTAAATGCTATCCCAGCAATTTGAACTCCACATATATATATATATATATTTCTTTTTTATATCCGTGAGTGTCTGAGCCAGCTTCCGCACCTTTCGACTAATGAGCACAATCGGAACTCCACGTTTTTAAAACTCAAAACGAGCACAACATGGCTTTGTCCCACCTTCCACAAGGGTTGGGGTTGGACAAGTATTACTGAGGTTTTCAACTCCTTTTAGACAAAAGGGGTTATTTCTTTGAGATCTTAGTATCTAATAATGCATCAGAAACAAACTTGGAAACTATCTAGGCCTACAGTATGATTGATCCTGGAAAGAAGGCAAATTATGAAGGTGTGTCCAGAGAGTTAGAATTTGATTACTTGTTTAGGTTGGCTGCCCTGTTTTCCAAGCGCTTTGCTGAGTGCAATGTGGAAATTGTCAAAAGGAACCACCTCCATCCTGCAACACCTCACAAACTCCAATCAAATCTTAATACCACAAGGCAATAGTAAGATTTTATTGTTATATATCGGAAGCAGAAGCGGATTACGTACTCGTATTTCAATTTCCCTTCTCGAGCCAGATCCAGAAGGTAATCTATAAATTTTCTGCTCTCTTTTGCTTCATCTGTACCCATCAATTTCTGCAACCAGAATCCCCTAAGAGAAAGGTCCTGCACAATGCACATAATGATTAGAAATTTTCAGCTAGAAGGTTACTACTTTTTCTTTTTTTCATTCCGTAGTAAACTCCTAACCGTCTTCATTACAATTCAAATTAGTGGTTGGTATTACCATCTTTGGTGCAGTAAACATATTTTTGGTTCGAAAACATTTAATGGTTTTCCAACTCTTGGACTGTAAATGAGACTTTGTATATGTATAATTTGATGACCATCAAATTTGTAAAATTTTTCTGAATCCACATTTTAAATGCTAGAAAGTTAGAAATTTCCAAATTTTAGGCTCTGTTTAAGAATATTCTATTTTTTAAAAATTCAATCAGTTTATCAATCATTTCACTTTCTAAATACACTTCTCAAATCCTAGCCAATTTTCAAAAACCAAACAAAGGATTTAGGATCCTATTCCAATTTTTGAACCCAATGCTATTTCTTTTTTTTTTTTTTTGGAAGAAACAATTTCT